TAGCATTGCATGGGGTTATTGTGACCCAACTGCAGGATCTGGCACTTGATCTTGGCCCATCAATCCAGCCTGTCCAGATCCCTCTGTAGAGCCTTCCTACCCTCAAGCAGATCAACACTCCCACCCTTACTGCGGGTGCACTCGATCCCCTCAGAAGGAAGGAAGGAAGGAAGGAAGGAAGGAAGGAAGGAAGGAAGGAAGGAAGATAGGAAGGAAAGAAGGAGAAAGTTGAAGGCACCATGTTTGCCAGATAAACCCAACTTTATTGCAGTGAGATGTTTCACACATTAAAAGTCTCCCCTATCATTCTGGTAAGAACCACAAATAAAAGGGCTCTTCCCTCATTTCCAACAGTGTAAATCAGAAGCAACGCGTAAGCTTTGTGGATTTGTATAATTTATGATAAAAAAGCAGAATTTGGCTTTTGTTCTTTAAAGTAGAGTTCAGAGTTCAAAAAGACACTACACAAACAAATTCTGAAATTTTATGTGAACTTACAGTGTCTAGTAAAAACTGTACTTTCATTGAACTTAAGCTGTTAATGATCAACATGGGAAATAGAGAGGACTATGTACATTTATTTAAATATATTTTTCTTTGTATAGTTCAAAGGCACAGTGCTACTCAATAAATAAGCTAAACAGCATGCAATAAGGCCTTACCAGTTAATGCCTCACACTACATTTCTACCAACGACCTATGTACTGCTGAAAGGAAGAAAAGAGAAAGTTAACATCTTAGGACATATTTGATCAAATAAAGAATGCAAGCATTACCTGCTCACAGTAAACAAACTCAAGACGTTACTCATTTTAGGAACTTCATTAGAGGCACTAAGTGAGATAAAAGAAATTACACAATTCCAATGGAACAATTAAGATTTCTGGTTTTACAAAATATGATAACCCAATTCACATTGATGATGATAGTTATAATTTCTTTTAAAGAATTTCGTCAGCTACTTGTATGTGCTTTTAAAGCCATAATGGTGATTTCAATTTTTAAAGAACTGTCAGTAGTACTGCTTCCAGCATTTTGCAAGAAATTATAAGGGGTGTTTAAGGATGGTTACTTCAAAATTTCTGAAAATTGGCTCCCTGGTAAAGCATACAAGAATAGATTTACAAGAACTAAATCAATAATGCCGTGGGAAATAGTAGAAACATATTTTTTATGTCCTAAGATTTTACCTGAAGTCTGAAATATGTCAGATTCCCTGGTGTTTGGTTTGGATTTGTCTATTCAAAAAATGAAAATGTTAACAAGGTAATTCCTATTTATCTCTTAGATGATCTGTACATTGAGATTTTGACTAATCTGCAGAAGACAGAGTGCTTAAGCAGCTTTTTATTCCAATACTATTTTTCTTCTCAGCTTATGCTTTGTTTGAGTTTACCAGCTTGACTGTGGAATTCTCTGAAATGAAACTTCAGCAAATTTTCTTTACCACAGAGTGTTATGTTTGTTATTTCTGTTCTGATTTAACAGGCTCGTATCTTCTGCAGCAACTTATTACTATGGGGAAAACTTCAATAACTTGGACATTCTGGTTTTTGTTTTTATTTTTTTTCCTTTTTGCTCACAGTTCCAAAGACACCTCCAGCTAATGTAAGTGGCAGAAGTGGAAGGCGACATGAATTAGTAATAGCATGGGAGGTAAGGGACTTTTCTGATTAAAGGTTTTGTTTCAAGTTTACTTCTTTGAGGGCAAAGTAAAGAGTACTGTACTGGGGTTTCCTTACAGCAAATCTTCGCAAGACATGAACTCAAAATACTGTTCTTTAAATATGTCCTAAAGTTTCAAAGTAATGTGCATTTTCATGTGGTTTAAATAGAGAGCATTATGGCAGCAGCTCCAAAGTTGTGCTAATTCATAAGCCTTTTCTTCCTATCTACTGCTTGGATTGATTTGACTTTTCTGGATCTTACGTAAATGCTACACCAGATGAAATAATAGCGAAGGTAAGAGAAGGAAAGCCTTGCAACTTTTTTTAAACTTAAGTTAAGAAAGAATTATTTTTTAAGTATTTCATAAAAATATAAAACTAAAGACCTGAAATAGCCCTTTATTTTGAGAAGATATTTGTGATGCAAGATGCAACACAGATGTATGACTGTTCCAGCAGGCAAATGGAGGAGTGGGAGCTGCTTTCTCTGCTAATGATAAATAACACAGTAGAACAGAGACTTTTCTTGAGGACTTTCCAAAACTTCTGTATTCATCATGAAGAGTTTCAGATTCAGAAAATGCACATTCCTATATAGAGAGATATAGATATAAAACCAAGAAAAATTCCATCAAATAAAGACATGGGGGTTTCATGAAAAAAGTTTTAAACTAGCCAACTTGAGGAGAAATTCAGGTGCTAAGAAACACACAGAATTCTAATGGCTAATTTTAGGACATTGGAAGAGGCTGTCTTCTGTTGGCATATCTGCCTTCTCCAACACCAGCTATGTAAACTGGCCTAATCCCAATCCCTAATAAAAGTGTGTAGTATTCATATTGTCTTTATAGTGTTCTCCAAGTGACTGGAGTGGGGGACTACTGGAGTGTGTTATATCTCCCTCTCTGTCAAGGGTTGAAGTTTTCTTCCAAAAGAAACCAGAGACATATGGGTGTCCCATCCTGCAATATAGATACAACAGGCAGTTAAAAATTAACAATTCCCATAACATAACTTTCAGTATACATTGACTTTTTTTTTCCACAAGAGCCAGCTGATGCTTCTTCACTTATAACTAAGGAATTCAAACTGCCAATAAGGCAGAAGATGTTGATCCTTCCCCCTTGTTTCTGATTAACTTCTTGTTTCCATCCATACCTAGTGCTGTTCTTCGTATTGTTTCACGTATGTCTTAAACTGCATAAAGTCCTTAGTCAAATTAAGATTACAAAAACATCATGACATTTCATCTGTGTTGAATATAACCTGTGAAGTGGGTATATTTATTTTTTTTCATTGTTTGAAAGGTTGCCACCTTTTCTAATTATAGTCACTGTCTCTTCAAAAATGGTAAAAAGATAGAAAAAAAACACCAAGTAATTGTTGAAATTTCTGCTAAAGAGCTACTCCTAGCACATCGGATAATATTCCAACAACTCACTACAGGCTACTGTGTTGTCTGGTGTAGCCACTGCATTTCCATAAGGCACAACCACAGCGTAAGTTAGCATAGCTCCAGCAGAATCAGTCTGTGCTTTTGCAGGATCAAAAAGTCTTACTGGCCTTACACAGGCAGTAGGAATTCAACAAAGTACTTTGAAGTCTGAAGAGATACTGAGATGGTATATGGGTGTCTTGGAATTCAGGAAAAGACTAAACTACCTAGGCTCCTGGATTACATTCAGCAAGTTCAAACAGAATTTTACCCACACAACTTTAATTCACACACTGTGTATTTAGCATTTGCAGTGAAATCCAAGGGTTCTACTGCTTCCCTTGTATTTCTGGCTTTTTTTATAGCGACTGTCTACTGCCAGCTCCATAAGTATTGCGAAGAGATGTGAGGCTCCTCCTTTCAAACTCAAGTCACTAAATTACAAAGTCTGCCATCGTTTTGCCTCCTCTGCCTTTGGAGTCATGATTTTTTTTTTTCTTGGATGTGCAGTACACGGCCTCAGAAGGATGGATAGAAAAAAGTGTCTGCAAGTGAGGTGCCTGGTGATGAGGCATTCAGTTGCAATGTAGAGGGGTGAGGACTCAGTGTCCCCTGTGCCCCTGCTCTGATTCATATGTTCATTAGCTTCAAATCTAGGATGGGCACTTCAGGAGAAGCAGTTTAGACACCCTTTTTTTGGCATGTCCCATAGGCCTAATATGCTGACAGCTGTTAAACATAACCTAATTCCTAAACTGGTCCATTCACTTTATAAGAAATGTAGGCAGTAAATTTGCATGAAAAATTCCATTCCGTGAGCTGAATGTGTAAGATTTAGCTTTTGCGGTGCTCAGCCTCTCAACAGATAAATCCCTTTGCTGACTACCTGCTTACGGCAGATGTGTCCCAACTGAAGTGGCTAATTTCACAGATCCTCTGAGAAGAGAAAAGTAAATGAGATTTTTTTTTTCACCAAGAATCAGTTTGAGAGTTACAACAATGAGATTTATTACATTATAATCTAAGTCTCAAATTGAACCCTAGAATTAAATCCCTAAGACTTGACACCCCATTTGGATACAGAAATTAAACAGGCTAGCAGCTAAAACCCAAGAGAGACCCACTGTAGCAAGTGCCACTCACATCATATTTTAGGACCCCTTCAAAATATGTTGCTCTACATTTTTAACAAGGCCACTGGGATGGGCTATTCCACTAATTGGTTAAAGCATTAACCACAAAGTGGGAGATATAGAAGAAAAAATCTTTCTGAGCCCAAGAGTTTATTCAGTCCTAGGACAGTGACCTAACTATGGTGCTTAAGTGAAGAACTCTCTTACAAGGTTCCTCTTCAGAAGCAATTATCCCTATGTATTCCCAGGCATGATAAGTAAAACCCCATAATGCAACTATGAGGGATCATCTTCACACAAACAGCCAGATTATGGTCAGCCACTGAGTGACTGCTTTCTAAATCAGTAAAACCCACCTGAACTTTACCTGAACTTTATTTTTTAGCCAGTCTCAGAAGAGTTTCAGAGTGGAGAAGGATTTGGATATATTGTAGCCTTCAGACCCAATGGAACGCGTGGCTGGAAGGAAAAAATGGTGACATCTTCAGATGCGTCGAAGTTCATCTACAGAGATGAAAGTGTGCCACCTCTGACTCCTTTTGAGGTGAAAGTTGGTGTTTACAACAACAAAGGAGATGGTCCTTTCAGCCCTATCGTGGTCATCTGCTCAGCTGAAGGAGGTCAGTTCAAAATGAAGTTAACTTGTATATTATGAACTATATTAAGCTACTTTTATATAATGTGTCCTATTATACCATACTTTTTCAATCTTAAATTTCAAAATTCTTTGCAGAAGTGCTAAGTAACATTAAACATGTTTTGCAGAGAAGGAGGTAAACTGACTTTCCAAGGTTACCCAGAAAGCAAGTGACAAAGTTTAGGAATAGACATCAAGCCACATCAGTCCTAACAAAACAAAAATCTCTTTTAATGAAGGTTCATGCCTAATATGAAATCTGTAGTCTTAACTTTAAACTGGGCTGCTCTAACAATGAGCAAAGAAAGGCTCATATTTTCTAATGTTTCTGAGGGTCATCATACTTTTTTTGACGGGTTAATTAGACCAGAGCTCATGACTAAATAGATTCAATTATGAATGTTCATTTCCTGGTTAATGGATACTAAAAGTGCACGCACAGAATGCAATTTTGTGGGGTTTTTTTTATTAAATTTTTTCTATTACTTTCTCTCTTTTTTAGTTCAATAGTATAAATGTTCTGAATTTATCTTAATGTCCAAATATTTAATGTGAATTGTAAGAATAGCTCAGAAGAGCAAATAAAAAATATTTCTTGAAAATTTCTATGTCAACTTGATATAACTCGCAACAGTATTTTTGGGGGAAAAAAAAAAAAAGACTAATTTGTGCTAGTAAAAGAAGTTGTTCTGTACTGACAGGAGTCAGTGTATGGAAACTTCCATACACACAATAGCTAAATAAATATTATCCACAGGAATGTTTTGAGCAACTCCATTACTGGAAGTCATACACTTCAGTTCTTTACTATACTATCTTTGAGTCTGTCTCCTTTTAAAAGAATACAATAAGTACAGTCCTAGTATAGATGGGGGGAATTTCATACTATCTCCTCAAAAATGTAGTGTGAAGATAATGGTATTTCATGTGAAGCTGGAAAACATTAAATGCTGCTCCATATTAGCCCACAATAAATGTGTAATTTTGAAGCCATGATGTAGCAGAGATTATCTACTACTATTCTCTCACAGTAATTATAGAGGTTGGAAATGCTGTTTTTGCTAAAAGCAGTTCCAGTAATTTGTTTGTGTTCCACTGTTCAGATTAGCATTACCAAGTATTCATATTACTATAAAAACAAATACATTTTAAAATGCAAAAATTGCACAATACAACTTGGAAATTTTACAGTTGACTTCCCTGTTCCTCAATGGAAAATTATACTGTGAGACCAATGGTGATGTTTTTATTATTTAACAGTTTCATACTCTAATCAGAAAATTCAATAAAAATAGAGTTTTACAAGGGAAGGAAGGCAAATCTTAATGGATTTTTTTTTAATAGCAAAAGCTATTTTAACAAAAGCTGAATGCTGAACTGTAATAAGTAGTCCTTTGCCTGTTATATGGACAAGACTGGAAGTGGAATAATCAGTAATATATAAATCAATTTTCTAGCATTTCTTTTAAAACATGAACTTTACAAATTATCTTAATAGAATTATTAAAATTAACTTTCTCTCTATGCTCCCAGATACTATCTCTAGAAACCAACTTTTCAGTTCAAGTAATTCAGTTACTTGAAAGTACATACCCATCATAGCTTTGCTAATTCTGTCTCTGTGTGTGTCTGTACGTTAGACTTTCCTTTGGTAAGACGAATTCTATGGTGATAAATACTTTATAAGACTTGTATTTGAGGAAAAAATATGGGATGCTGTGACAATACAGTGCAAAAATAATTTCTAAAACGCTTTTCTCCAGAATAACCCGACGTGATATACTGAAAATTTAAAGGAATAACAAAACAGTTTATTACAGCTAAATTCGTGGCAATATGGAGACTGAGGACAATAGACAGTTTGCTATGAAAAAAGGGGGAACTGACTTTGAAAGGGGCATGAGCTTTCACATTTGAGCTAAACAACTGAAGGCACATTTTCTCAATGACTTCTGTTGAAGAGGAGATATTAAATAAAGATTGACAGTACAATATATTATGGTGTTAGGGCTGATCCAGCAAACCCTTAGCTTACTTGTTTTTCATCGCACACTCAATTCACTGCTCTGCAAACATCTAGAATAAAGGCCTACAATAAAATTATTAAAAGTTGAGGAACTTTTATGTTGCATATTAAAAGGTTTCCCACATTTACAGATGGATCTACAGTTGTTTACTGGCATAATAAATTTGTCTAAGAAAGACTAAAGCCTGTTGCCTCTGCTAAGCCCACAGGAAAAAAACCAAGAGTTTGCATAGGATAGGTTCTGGACAAAGAAGAAATTTCTCATTTATTAAGAATGAATGCATCTGTCTCTTTTCTGTATGACTGTGACTGCATACTGTGTGCTCTCTGATGTACATTCAGAGGTCATTTGTGGTGGCTCTGAGTTATGCCTAGGCAAGGAGCTTGGCAGGTGTTATTAAGATGTTCCCCGCTGTGAACACAATTGATTGCCCTCTGATTAAAAAATGTCTCTGACTGAGACAAAAGGCTTAAAAACCTTCAGAGTAAAAAATCTCAGAAAACATGAGCAAAACACTGGGTGCTTTTTCGTAATTAGAGGTGCTAATCATCTTATTTCTATCTCCATCTCCAAGTCAGATATTTAGAAGATAATATGATACCAATGGTTACTGAGGGATGGATGATGGTGATAACCCAAAGTTGAAGAAGGGAAAAAAGCCTGTCTGGTTATAAATGTTTTAAGACATATCTTCTTCTTCTTCATTGGCTTTTTGACTTCATAGGAAACGTCACCAGGATATAGCTCACGGGAGAGAATATCCAGGAGCTAAAGATGCAGATGAATGTAATGCAAGAATAGAGAATAGAATGGAGAAGCAGATAAAAAGGTTGTACAAAACTAGCTGCATACAGCAGGAGGATAAAAAGCAAATGTAACTCTCTGGAAAAGATGACAATGCAGTAGAAAAGTTTGAAGGAGAAGTCTTTCCTGGAAACCTTAGGAAAGGAAGAAAGCAAACAAGGAGAGAATAAGAAAAAGAGAAGTCAGATGTTTTAGTGAAGTAAAAGAGATGATGACAGCCAAGGACCATTTCTAAAGAAGGAATGAGGATGATACACAGAAGATGTAGGATAGAAAAAATGATGCACAATTATCTTCAATAAGAAGGTAGAACAGAAGGACACAATAGTCATGTTCCAGCACCAGGGAAAGACAAGCCTGAACCTTCCATAAAGGAACCCTTTAATAAGAGAAAGAGACCTCAGAACACATCGAAAGCATAGCAAGTTAGGCTGCCTACCAGAAGATAGCTTGCAATGTGCAGGCTTGAGGCTGAAAAGGAGCATGAACAGAGCAGGTAGAAATCTTCTGACTGTACTTTCTGCTAGGAAAATAATGGTATCAGATTCACGCTAGAACGTACTGAAACAAAGCACTGAACTTCAGTGCAGACACAGATGATTTTGATCCATAGAGAATAAAAATTGTAAAGGCACAAGATGTTGAAAAAAAAAAATCAACCATGAACAAAAGCATAGTTAAGTACTGGGTTTTTTAACATTTATATATTCTTTGGAGATTTTTCTTGATGACTACATTCCACAAGTACCGAGCGGTTAAGAAAGCCAAGACTACTAATAAAAACTTTCAGTATCAGGGAAATCATATGCAATCTCTATGTGTGGTTTTAATTCACTGAAAGAGGAAAACTGGGAGAATCAGAAATATAGCAATGAAGAAGGAAATATGATAGTGTAAAGGTATGATTGCAAGAAGATGGAAAAGACTGTACTGATAAGAGTGATGGCCAGGTAGGCTTGCTTTAGCAAGCATAACTAGACAAAGTATGAGCTCCATAGGAAAGACAAAATAAAAGTAAAAATGGTTGGATGTCATAACATGCTGATAATGTGACAACATACCAGGAAATACAAACCCAGTGTTTGGATCAAACAGAATATCCTTGGGTTCCATCTCGTTTCAGAAAAGAGCAATTAAAGAAACTGGGAGTTGAACTAGAGGTTAGTTGCCGATTGCCCTGGTCAATTTGGATGCTGAGAAAGACTTTTCTAGTTTTAGATAAATATTACAGGACACTGTTATTTATGAGAGAATTTAGCTGCTCAGAGTAGTTTGGAGAGTAAATATGACTAATGACCTTGTGTTCCGGCTGTGATAACTAGCAGATTCTTTGTTCAGTACTGACTAACTGAGAAGAAACAATGGTAGTATAGTCTTGTTTTGATGAACAATTAAGACACTATAGAAAAGCTGATCATAACAAATAACAGTACAAGTAGTCATCATTAAATAGCAGAAAATTATTTAATAACGTGGAATTAACAATTGAGACTAGAAATGAAAGTGCTTCGGAATGTCTCTGAGCCAAAGATGTAAAATCTACCTGAAGTTTATACTGCAAGAAACGGTACATTTCTAAGGCAGTACATTACAACTGAGGATCTAGAGATGTACCCATTAAAAGATATTCAGAATAAGTAAAAAGCATACATAATAAAATCCAAATAATGAAAAGCATAAGAATAACACAAGTATTGCCAAAAATTAAGGTGAAAAAAATTTTTTTTTTTAAGTTAGGAAAGTATATAAAGCAGGAAAAAATGTGAAGTAAATAAAGCATTGATATTAATGATAATCAAGGAATGGACCAACAATAACTGAATACTTTATCATTTATTTTAAATAAATAAGATGATATAGACAGGATAGCTAATAAGAATGTGAAAGTCTGCAAATATTTACATCTGTAGTGAAAACTCCCGGTATTGTCAACTGCTCAGAAATTCAACCCTTTCCAATTTAAGCAATGCAGAATTTGCTATTCAAATGTACCATGAATGAAATTTAATCTGTTTTTCTATTCATGACTGCCATGGATGGTGAGACCTCATCCCGTTTACATGCTCAGAGACCTGGGGTAAGATCTCTTCTATCCCAAAATAATGAAAACAAAGAACAGTTGGCAAAAATAAATTTTAGTTAATGTATCAAG